CCAAAAGAAAACATGATTATCCATCCCTTAAGTGGAATCTACAGTACTATAGAACATGAGTATGGCAAGGCTGACTCAGTTATCTATTACTCCTTTAACTGTTCACCAGATATTTCTCTTTTTTGTGTCCAACCTACATATTTTTCCACAGTGACAAAACCTCCATCCTGAAGCATACATAACATTGATTTTAGGAGGTGGGATTTAACACCTAGAGACCACTGCTTTGCACTGCAATGAAGCTGATAACATAGACATCTGATCAAACTCTTGTAGCATTGACTAGTAGCCCTTTTCTTGTGCAACCCAGAGCACCCTAAGACAAAACTCCACTCCTCAAGTCTACTTACATCAAGAATCCAAGAACACGCACATTCTGCAGTTAGATGATCAAAAAATAGTTGTCAGTAAGATAGGTGAGAAAGCAGTTCAAAGACCTGTATTGCTGATGTTTTGTACAGTCCTGTCACGTACAAACGACCAGAGCTTGAATGAACGAAACAAACTTCCAAGCAACATCACTGTTGCTTTTTGTTAGCTACCCTACAAATTCTCTTGCCATTTAAAATAAATGAGCAAAGATCTCAAGTAAAATACCCTCATCTCCACTGCCAGCCCTTAAATGAGGTACGGGAGGGGGTGGATCCTGGCTCAACACCTTCCAGTCACTCAGGCGCACTGGGTTGGCCCTGCCTTCCACCAGGTGCTCAGTGGTTCAGGCCATGACTCAGCATTTCCACTACAGTGGTCAAGGAGTGTTCCCTGATTTTAGCGTCTATTAAAGCAAGCAATTTGCTTTTGAAGAAAGGTCTACAAAAACTGTTTCACCTCAAACATAATCACCCAAATCTGGGAAATTTGCAAGCGGTGGGACTCTTCATCAGCTTGCACTTGAGGATTTGTTTAGTTTTAAAATCCACCCACGACAAACTGTCAGCCACTTCAGATTAGAAAGGAATCCCGTTCCTGACAGGTTTCCCTCAGAGTATTGAGTGACAGAGCTGAGATACATCCCTGCCACGAGACAACAGATTACAGGAGAGGACTTTGGGATCTGCTGATGTGCAGTTTGCACCATACCCTTGTGTGAGGAAAGATGTGAGTTATTGAGGTCTGCGTTAGGCGAAGTGCTGCCAGCTGGTAAGAGGCGATGGCACTGGCGAGGCCATGCGCATGAACACAAAGTTCTGATCTCCTCAGGAGACACAGAACTATTGTAGACAGCCCCTTCTTCCTGAAGGTGAAAATTTAGCAGATATAGGAGGGTGTACTCTCTATTACCTACCAAAGAGGCACAGCTTACATTTCTGCAAGGACTGAGTTTTAGGTATGAAATAAATACACATTCTTCCCGCTGACACACACCGCCCCGAGGGAGGGAGAGCAGCACCAGTAACGTTCAGAGGCAGCCTGCAGCGCTGCCCAAGCCGTCGGTCCCAGCCTCTGCCCGCACAGCGGAGTGCTCTCAAGGACAGCTCGGCCAACAAAACACACGGGAAGGCACGAGGATCCCCCGCACGCCGTCCTGAAGGCGGTCACCGCCGACCCCGCACGTGCGCGCCGACACCAGAGCACGAGCGACGTGCGGCCTCCGCAGCCGATCATGGCGGACACCCCGCCCTGCAGCACTGGAGACGCCCGGGGGCTCCGCCTACCGGCCGCAGGCGTCCCGCGCGGCCCCGCCCCTATATTAGGGGTGGCCGCAGCGTAGGTCTCGGAGCGGGGTTGTTGCGTTTGTTTGGGCTGCTTCGCGGATCCGGTGCCATGGCAGGTCAGTGAGCGCGGCCACACCTCCCGCGGGCGCGCGGCACTCGCGCTGCTACTCGTGAGGGCCGCTGGCGGCGCGGACCGGGGCTGTGGGGTCGGCGCGCTTCTCAGCCGCGTCCCGGCCCCGTCGCAGGGTTGGGGCGGGCCGCGCCGGCTCCTATTTTTAGGTAGCCGTCCCTGCCAGCTGCGGGCTGCTGACCTCGGTCCGATCCGCGCTAGGATGCAGAGGCGCGGCAGGCCGATGCTGCAGCTGCTGCGGTCTGGGGCTGCATGAGAAGTGGGGATAGGGGTCTCGTGGGCCGGGAGGACGCTCCTGCTGCTGCCCCGCTCCGCGCCGCCCCCTCGGCTCCGAGGCTTCGCTGCCGGCTGGAGGGATGCGGTCTGAGAAGTGAGGGGGCGTGAGGAGCTCCCGGCAGGACTGCGGCAGCTCGTGGAGAACACGCAGCCCCTTTCCTGAAACGCTGCAGGCGGCGCGTAACTTCTGAGCGGCACCACAGCGCGCTGAGCGCGTCGCCGCCGCTTCCAGGGTGCTGGCCTTTCTTTCTATCGGATTTCTCTCTGATTTTTCTGGTGGAGCTGTCAGCAGCGTCGATTTCCCTCTCGCATCTGGAAGGCTGCGGGGGATTGTTCCTCACTTCCCCGTGCGCATCTCGTTCAGTTGCGCGTGCCTTTGAGAATCCTGTGCTCAGGACTGAGAGGTTACTAACAGAGAGCAGGAGAATAGACAAGTAGCGGTGAGAACACTGGGTGTGCCGGAGTGCATATCCAAAACAAGTTAAAACCTCACAGGTTAGGTACAGAACATGTGGGGCAGACACCAGTCCACTGCTGCATGCTGTCCCATGAAGGGTTGATCGTGGCTTGGGCTTCCAGAATGCTCTCTTATACGTGTGGGGAGGGGAGCAGTGCCAAGATTCTTCTGTTCAAGCTTGTCCCTGGGCGCCGTTATAACTACATAATTAAGAAGGCATGCATATAACTCACGTTCTCTGTATCGCAGCTATGCTAAGAACTAACTGTATTTTAGGGATAATGATGACTCCAGTGTGAGCGTAACCTATACACACGAGAAACTTTTCTATTAGGATAAGTGGGCTAATCTCTTGCAGATTTAACTTTCATTTTAAACAGTAACTGGTCTTGCCTAGATTATGCTATGGTTTTGTGTGTAATGCATGAACATACTTCAGTACTATGGCTGTATTTTAGAGAATGTATGAAATAGTTTCCAAAATCTTTAATAAAGTATATCTTTACTGATTTTCAGTGCTCTAAAACTTGTGAATATTCTTCTGTCAGGCAGCTGTAGTTCATCCTACTGCAGTTGAGATATAATGGGGAACTTTTAACCCTTACTCCCTTAAATTGACTTTATTTTCACTAAAACCTTTGTGTGTGTCATGCAAACTGCCTAACCAGTAGATTTTTTTTTTTAGGTGTATGAAAGCTAAAAGTTAAAAGTCTAGTTTGTCAGTAGCAAGAATCTCTTACTCTGGAAGGGAGAAACAATTCAGCTAAATGTTGCTGGTATATAATTATACTTTGGCTGTGCTGGATTTGTAGTGACTTCTCTTATCAGTATATAATGGCAGATGTATATTTATTGAGTAGCTGAGAAGCAGTGCGCAAATTCAGTAATAAACATGGATCCCTACTAGAAGGGTGTTTATACCAGTTAAGATTTTACACACTTGCTGTTTGTAAAGCTTCAAAGCTCTCAAGAGGCTGGAGATTGTTCTTTGGAATTGCTGAATTATATGAACTCCTATAGACTAAGTGAAATGGAAAAAAAGAGTATTGATTTCTGGTATTTATAGAAGCTTTCTTAAATTTTGTAATTGACTACCATAATCTGCTTCTCGGGACTAGTTGGTTTTGCTGCTAAGAGAAGTCTATGCCAGCAACAAAACCCTCTAGAGTTTGTAAGCCAAGTTTGTTGTGCTTATAGGCAATTATCACATGTGAGTTTGTTGCCAGTAGTTCAGATGGCAGTAATTTTAAAAGATACTAATGAAAATGTGACTTATCTCATGATGTGAGCAGTCGTCCCTAAAAGCAATCTTTCTGAAAACAGAGCAGTCAGTATTTTAGTCTTACTACTACACTTGATTTTAGGCTACAGAGTGCCCAGAGCCTTCACTCTCCATCTTCATCTAATCAACATTTGTAAAGAAGAGTTATTTTCCAAAAGAACTTTTAATGTAAAAACCAGTTTTTGAAATTCTTTGCAAGAAAATATTTTGCTCGTAATGTCAAAAATGATTTTTTTAGGAGAAAAGTATGCTTCTTGATAAAGAGTTGTAGCTTATAAAGGGCTACTATATAATAATAGCTGGCAGTGAACTGAAGAGGTTTAGAACTGTGTGTTTGACTGTGTCAGACCTATCTTGGCAAAAGTTTGCATTATATGGCTTCAGTGAACATACAACAACATGATGTGTATTTTTAAAATACTGTTGAAGTAACAGATCATATGCTTGATAGTAGCAATCTAGCTCTACTTCTCTTGTGAGAGTTAGCTGAAGAGCAAAAATGATTGTTAATCGTATTACTAGATGTTTCCCATTTAAATCTTGCTTTCTTGTTAAACAGCTGCAACCATTTCTTGCTGAACAACTCATCTTCAATAAAACTGTTGTCCAGGATCTAAATCAAAGTTTACTTTCATTTGAAAATGAAAAAAATAAAATTCTACACTACCTTCAGGCTCACATTTGAACCCAGTGTAGGTTTATGAAACTGTACCATTAGTAACTTTAGAAAAAAATGCAAGCATACTGGCTCCAATACTGTTAGCTTAAAAATATCATATAATTAGATAATAAATCTCTCCAGAACCTTTTAGATCCTATCTAACATTGGGATGTCATTCATAACCTGTAGGAAAGTCAAAACTGGCTTTATCTTTCAGTAGTCTTTGTTTAATTTTTTACTCTATTTTTGCCACGTGTTAAGTTACTAATGGCAAGTATAGCTATGTAATAGTAACATTCTTCTTTTTACCTTATGAGTAGGCCCAGGACACAGATTTAAAGGGTGTGTCTTAAAGATATTTCAACATGGTATCTAGTAATACTAGATTTCTAATATATTTAACTCAGAATAAAGTAGTGGATTGTGCAACTTTGACTAAGTTAATTTCTTCTAGACCAGTCTTTTGTGACTCTAGCCACAAATGATTCCTATGTGAAAGGAGCACTTGTACTTGGTTCATCCTTGCAACAGTCTGGAACAACGAGGAAGCTGACTGCTCTCATAACTCCTCAGGTTTCTGATCCAATGAGGTAAGGTCGCTTAATTATGTCAAACTGCCACAGCTCCTGCCGATATGAAGGTTGAAGAAAGTTAAATTTCTTGATAGTAACTTTCCAAAACTCTGAAAATTTAACTAAGCTTAGGAGAGTTAATCTAAACTATCTGGAATTCTGTGAGGGATTCAGACTTGAAAGTTTTGTGGCTTTTCTTGTATGATGGGTTAAAAAATACTCAATAGTTAGAGCACTATAATTTGACTTGCTATTCTAACTGGATCTTTGCTCTTTTGTAGTCCTTCTTAGGATTGTCTGACAACACAACATTGCCCAGGTCTTCAGCAGCAGTATGCACATGCGTGGTAGTGGGGAATTAGTATCTACTTATCTCACAGAAGCATTCTAGATTGCACCATTGCAACATTATTGAAATCTAGCAGATGCTTCAGATGAAATTCTATCATGAGAGAATAAAATGAGTAGAACGAGAGTAGCATCAAGTATGATAAATAGCAGTATGATATATAGCAACCAGTAGATACCTGTCTTTTTGGTGATGTAAGTGGAACTTGAGTTTCATATCTGTATCTATGACTTACACCTTAAATTCAGATGTAGCTGTCTGTACTAAACTGTCAATGTAAAGACATCTTGCAAAGCAGAGTTCTAAAACTCATTTACAAGCTCTGTGGTTCAGATTGTACTGATAATTGCGTAGCATTCAAGATGCTATATAGAATAGGTAGTTGCTTTACAGATGCTTCAAATTTTTAAGCTGTGTAAACTTCTATTGAATTAAGCAGTGATGGCAAAACAAAGGCTGGATATCTGTCAAGGGGAAAAAAATAATATGCTTCCTGAAAACTTAAGAATCAACCTCAAGGCAAACATGATACTAGGTAAAAATGCCGCTGTATGCAGAGCCACAGTTAAGTGAGCCCTTGAAGCTTTTTGGATAAAGAAATTTCTTGCAACTGGCTCTAATAACGTGACTCTAATGGTAACAAATTCAGAATGGTGTTATTGCATAACTTCCTTTTCAACTGACTAGAGTTCAGCTAGCTCTTTGTTACAAACTAGAAACCTTGAGACTGATATGCAAGGTTATGAATTCCCATATGGGTAGTCAACTTTCTGATGGCATAAGGAATACTGACAGGTTCCCTGTTGCTTTACTTCTGTTCATGGAATCTGCTAAGTAGTCTAATACTGGAACAACATAAATCTTGGCAACTTATCTCTCTGCAGGAGCACACTAGAGAAAGTATTTGATGAAGTCATTTTGGTAGACATCCTGGATAGTGGGGACTCAGCACATTTAGCATTACTGAAAAGACCTGAGCTGGGTATCACGTTAACGAAGCTTCACTGCTGGGAACTGACACAGTTTTCAAAATGTGTTTTCATGGATGCAGACACAATGGTAAGTGGTCATGTTACAAAGAGGTACCAGGAGACCTGATATGAGGGTTGTTGGTTGGTTGGATTATTAGTTTTTTGGTGATGTTTTATTCCTTTTGAGGGGAAGGAGGGATAATGGAGCTATTTTTGCCATTTAGATTAATAACTATCTAAAAATGTACATACACTTATTCCTAAATAATTCCCTTTAACATGTAGTCTGTGGGCACTATCTCCATAAAGTATCATCTTCCATAAGACAAGAGCATCAATATGAGAATTTTCTTTCATGTCTTAAGATGGATGTCAAAAATCCATTAAGAAAAGATACCCCCAATTTCTACCCTAGAAACCAGAAAGCAATTTTTTGCCCCCCCTACAACTAGGTTTTGTCAAATATCGATGAGCTTTTTGAGAGAGAAGAGTTGTCTGCAGCACCAGATCCAGGCTGGCCTGATTGTTTTAATTCTGGAGTTTTTGTTTACCGACCTTCCATTGAAACATACAATCAGCTGTTACAGTTTGCCACAGAGAAAGGCAGCTTTGATGGTATGTATTAATTTGTATTCCAATATAAGTTAGACAAATAGTAATGGTGGTTGGGATGGCACAGGAACTAGATATGTTTCATAGAGGCTATGTATGATGGAATTCTGTACTCCAATGTAACTACACAAAATCACATTATCACAGTGAAAGATAATATTCCAGTATATAAAAGAATTTCTTCAGATTAACTGGAATGACAAATGAGAGTCAGCTTCTATAAGCATTAGCAGTGCAGAATCGCAGAACACTAAGCTTTGACATTAACAAGTACAGTAAATGCATGAACAAATTGAACAGCAGTACTATACTTTAAATTCAGCTCTTCTGTGGTCTCTGGTATTCAAGGCTGTGCGAACTGAAGTTGATGTGGTATGAAAAAATGTAGTACTGAACAACAAGTATAGATTCAGAGAATCTTAAAATACTTGAAGGTGTAACAGTCTCTTGATATGCATGTGATAGCTTCTTATCTTTATAGGATGGTGACAAGATTTTTCCCCAGTATGGTGTGCATAGCATCGGCTGTTATCCACTATAGGTGTAGATCATTAACGATTAGTCACTGTACCAAATCTAAGCTTGAAAAGCCAACTTCTGATGTCCTGTTAGTCTTGGCAATCTATAACCATTGCAGTAAATGCACATATTCCTTGAAGTCTGTTGCAGTTAAAGGCTTCTAAAAAAAACAGACTTGTCTCAGTCACTAAATTTAATTATCTACCTACTGTGGCGTGAAATAAAGTTTTACAAGAAGTGCTGCAGAAAACTGTGTAATAAGACCATTAAATTGTACTTTTACTTGTAAGAGATAAAAATTCTAGATGTCACTCCTACTTCACAGAATTATCTCTGTTAATTCATGGGTTCCTATGTATGGCCTCCTATAGAGCATAGGTCTCAGCTGGATGCTTAGTATGAATAACTGAGTGAAAATGAATATTGTAATATCTAGATCTGTCTGTACCTCATGACTAACAAGGCAGTAGTTGATAGCTATAGGAGTGCTTTCTCATATTAGAGGTAAATTGGTCTTCTGGATGTGGGGAATCAACCTTTTACTTGAGTAGATAGTGCTAGGACAAGGGGGAATGGTTTTAAGCTCAATGAAGGAAGTTTTAGATTGGATGTCAAGGGGAAGTTCTTCACAGAGAGTGATGAGGTGCTGGATCAGGCTGCCCAGAGAGGCTGTGGGTGCTCTGTCCTTGGAGGTGTTCAAGACCAGGCTGGATGGGGCCCTGGGCAGCATGGTCTAGTACCAGATCTGGAGGTTATTGGCCCTGCTTTTGTGGCAGGGGGGTTAGAACTTAATGATCCCTGGGGTCCCTTCCAATCCAAGCCATTCTATGATTCTATGTGCCAAAAGCTGTAAGATGGTACTGAATTGTTGCATTTAAAAAAAGAGGAAGCTGACTGTTGAAGAGTTCCAGGTACATCTGAGATTTGTCTTCTCTTGAGCCTTGTGTTTGACTCCTAGTAACTACCAGCTTCTAGGTGTAAGGCCCTTGTCATTTAAGAGAGTACAACTGCTTCTACAATGTTCTTGCTTCAGAGCTAAAGCCACATAATGATGAAACATCCTTGATGTTGTCTGTGTGCAACAGTTGTTATAGCTCTTAGTGGAAAAATGGTGGGTTAATCATTTGCCATCTTTTAGAAGTGTAATTTGTTCTTTGGCTATGAACTTACTCAGGTTTTACTCATTGTAGAAGCAACCTGAGTAATGAGACGGTGGAGATATTATTACTTGTGTAAGATGCTGTTGAACTTATGGACTTGGGGAGAAAGTGTATTTAAATTTCAATTGACTTAGACATTAGTAAAAGTTTCTAGGAAACTTCTTATAAGTGAAAATCTGAGAAGTCGCTGCCCTTAACAGGGCACAGAAATGCAAACTTCATAATCTACCAGTTATTGAAATCAAGCTTTAAACACTCTATCTGCAGGAGTATGAACTAGGAAATACAAAACCTTCTAATGTATTTTGTGGTTATGAACTACAGTAGACAGATGGCTCTTACGTATAATACTTTAGTCTAAGAATAGTAGAATGACAGTTACTTACATAGAACAACTGCTTTATCTAGAAAAGTGAAACTCAAATGGATAATAAGGAACTAGTAGAGGAAAAAAGTCTGGTTTTAAAAGAGTTCTGATAGTATCAATACTTTAACAACTGATATTACTTGCATAATAGTATGACTTTTTACTCTGGGATCTAAAACAGTTGTTTTTTCATAAAAAGACATGCAGCAGAACTACCTGTAGATATGTGGAGAATATAACTACTGCCTGACTCTCTCACCTTATGTTTAAGGGCCGATTTGTAGAAGACTACTGCTGAAGTCTGAACTAGGACAGCTAAACTTTGATTTCAGTGACTGCTTTGGCACAAATGCATGCAAACTGAAAAAAAAAAAAAAAAAGCTGAGTATGTGGAGCAAGTCTGAGTGATAAAGTCATGTAGAGTAAGTTAAATACACTGTTGCTACTCCTTTAGTTATAAGCTACCTCTTCTGAGAGGGCCTCCAAGACTTAGTTTTGGTTTAGAACTTAGTGTTACGAATGCATATGTTAAATCAGAAGTTTAAATGTTGTATAATTGAGTAAAGACCAGGGAACTTGTCCAGTTCCTTTGACTTTGCTCTCTTGCAATAGGAACTTGTTCAAAAGTGCTTTGTATCTTTAGGGGTTGAGAGGAAAGTTAAAGGTTTGAAATTACTGATCTGAGTCTGTAGGCAGTGTCTTGCTCTGCAGTCTTCACATATGTTGACTGCTATAACAGGATACTTAAAACTTATGTTTGTCAGTGTATCTCCTGTAAGTCTAAGTGCATGATCAATATAGAGATTTTAATCACAAAAAGCAGATTTTTCTCAAATCACACTGAGGATGTAAACTTTAGTACTACCCTGTACTTAATTGTAGGCAATTAAAAAAAAAAAAAAAAAAATTACAAAACCATCTTTTCTTTTCCTGAGTCAGCAGAAACTGAGTGCTTCAGAAAACAAAAGATTAAGGGATGGTATATGTTTTATTTTAACTATGCTATGTTTCTCTGCTGTTCAGCAGTGCTACTTGTGAATGCAGTTATAGGTGAAAACAGCAAATGAGATTGAAGAATCCCTCACAACTTTAATTTGTGAAAGAAAGTATAGCTGAAATTATTGAATATACTTAATCTAAGTATATTCCCTGCAATAAATATGTAGTTTTTTACTTCTCAAGTAGCTCCTTTTCAACTGGCCTACTTTGGGGCAGGAGCCTTTTTTTTTTTTTTTTTTCTTTTAACTACCCTACTGCTGGCATACCAAACAACTTCAAACTCATTGACTTCGTTACAACTTCTGCTTGCAAACTGATAGGTGAGCCATCCCAACACTGTACCTCTGGTCATAATGTATATGGCTATCCTCACTTAAGTGTTAATTGGTGGCTTTATAGGACAGAACTAGGAACTTCTATTGCATGGATTTAAGTTTTATTAGTGCTGTCACTGAGACAGAATGCACTTTCCTTGCCAGATTACAGTGTAGGTAGGTGCATCTGAGGCTGCAGGTCTAAAACCACTGATACCTTGAGTCCAGTCCCAAGGCCTTGGTCACGTATCTGTAAGCATAAGTAATAAAACTAATGGTAGTCACTTGATCATCTAAGCTACAGCTTTCCTGAAGATCTTCAGGACCCAATTGTCAAATTCTTTTTTCTGCTGCCTCACATTGCTTGAAGCTGCACTGTAAAAGACTGAATGCAGGATTTGTGAGCAACTCATGGTCTTTTAGGTAAGAAGAGTAACCTCACATATACCTTTTTCATTGTTTGCATTTTTTTTTTCAAATTTTCAAAGACTGCAAGGCTTACAGGGTTGTTTACAAACAAACTGTAGAGCTCACTGCCAAACTCCTACTGTACCTGACAAACTACATTACCAGGTCCTTAATTAGGAAGGATTGGTGGAGTAGATTGAGAAGATTCTAAAGCACTTATATAATGCTTGTCGCCTACTAATGCATTCTCTTTCAGGTGCAGACCAGGGCTTATTAAATACCTTCTTCAGCAGCTGGGCAACAACAGACATGAACAAACATCTACCATTTATTTATAATTTGAGCAGCACTTCTGTATACTCTTATCTTCCAGCATTTAAAGCGTAAGTTTAAAATTCTAAAAAGATTTTGAGAGCATATATAAACTAATGTCTTGTAATGTAATGAACAGTGTGAACCTGAAAGGTTTTTCTAAATGGAGACCATTGTTGTGATTTAATATACTGGGTATGTTTCTACCCTTTAAAAAAATAAGCTGAATTTCTAGTAATTAGATGAATCATCTTATGATGAAAGATGAGCATTGTAAACTGTACTAGTAACTTAAATCACTGACTCCTAGGGTAATGTTAACATTGATTCAGAGTAAGCACATTTAACAGCTCACTTGCAGAAGGGAGAATCACAGCTCCAGTACTGGATACTGCTTACTGGATATTGCTTGTTAGAGCTCTAGCCAAAGACAATAGTTCTTGAGTCATCTTAAGCTGAACATCAGCATGTCATTGTTGATATTGTTCCTGTCTAGATAATTTGCCTTAATCACTCAAATTACATAGATTAACTACCAGTTGTTAAATTCTCTTATCAAACGCACATAAACATAGTGAAAAAAGACTTGCGTAGAGCTAGAATTCTCACCCAACCGTCCTTCTAGATCTGAGTTCCCCAAGTAATAGTAAAAGGGAACAAAGACATTATATTATTGTATGCTTCCAGCATAAGGAAAAAGCGGACTCTTCCTTAACAGTATTAAATTAGGCTTGTGAGTAAACACTCTAGTGGTGGCAAGGTCACTCTGCTAAAACAGAAGGAAAGGGGACAGCAGGAAAAGCAAGCTGTAATGTTACACCTAAACCCATATTCATTAAGAGCTGTGAATGGTGGGGGAGGGGGGTGAAGTACCAATTGCATGAAAACAATCTGATCTTTGAATGATATGAAGCTATTAGTGTCTAAAGCAGCAGCTAGCATAAGCAGGACTGTGCTGGCTCAAGATCAAACTATGTCTTGTGATCAGAACAGCATCTGAAATACTGTCATGCTAAAAGTGGAGTACTTATTTAAAGAAATACATGCAAGCCTGAGAATGACTAAGTAGTTCAATAACATTTGATAAGCTAACATCTATTGTAAAGTATGTGTTCTTTTCATGGCTGCTTGCTTTGTAGTCACATAACCTTAAATTTACAAATGATCTTATCACCAGAATGGACTTACTGAACTGGTGTTCCTGACAAAGATTCTGTATAACTGATTCAATCAGTTGCCTAGCTGAACTCAGGAGACCTTCAGAAACTATCACGCTGGAAGCACAGCCCTTTTAAGTAGAACGTTCTTTTCAGCAGGTGGAGCAACTTCTCTTGGTTAGATCAGCAGTTACTCAATCATCAGCTGACATGCACTGAAATTTAAATGTACTGACATCAATAGCAAAGTCTTTTGTAGCATTGTACAGCAAGACTAAATTTCACAGCAGGTATCAGTAATCCTTTCTCCAGTGGAAAATGCCAAGGTAGGACAAATGGTGTCTAACTTCAAAACATTGTCTTTCATGAGAGATGAGGAAAGATTAGTTGCTCTGTCAAGTGAGACACAAAGCTTTCTAACAGTTCAGCTTAAATGTCAGAAGGAAGTACTGCATCTAGAAAGCAGATCCTGAGGATATCCTAGAAGTCTGGCATCTGTCATTTGTTGTACAGGTCTTCAGTGGATGGAATACTAAGAACACACTTCATTTGCAAAAACAGTGTAACACGAAACTTCTTAGGCATTCTCTAGCTTAAGTAGCCTTGATTTTAAACAATGACAAGTTTCTTCAGAGTGACAGTAGCCTAAGATGAAGAAAACTAGATAGTGGTGTCACAACTAATAACTGAGGTAGCCCTACTAAGCTAAATCTTGACATGTGGGTTTTAAAGTTAGAGCCTGGGAAATGACCTCCTCCAGGCATGTTTTTTGCTTGCAATTATTGCAATTCTAGACAGTGTTTCACATGTGCATGGGTTTTCATTCAGAATCAGCTGTGTCTGAAACATTGGGAACAGTCAAGTATTTCACAGTAGCAATGTATATTGCCTTGTTTTGTATATTTTCAAGTATTTGAAATATACCTGTGCAACCTCTGTGTAGAAGAACTCAAATATCCAAATCCTAGTCAAGATGACCGGAATATGCTTAATTAAAAAGTTATTAGACAAAGCTGTTTAGTATTATCCTTCTTGGAGGAAATCCTGACTTGACACAAACAGCTGGATGAGACAGTCACTGTTATAGAGAATTCTCAAAACTGACTCAAGCTAAACTCTATTTCTGGAATTATATGAGGGCTCCCCAGCAAGTAATGCCTGCAATTTTATTTTGGCCCATGACATCAGAGGTGGATGTTGGTGGTAGGGCAGTAGAGGCTGAACCAGTGTTCTGTTATTTTGTTGCCATGTGACATATGGTAGCAGAGGGACAGTCTGACAGAATGGTGTCTGACATGGAAATGCGGATGAAGCAAAGGTGTGGAATTGAATTGCTCCATATGGGGAAATAATGGTATCCATTGACATTCATTAGTGCTCGCTGAACATTTATGGAAACCAAACAGTGGATTACCAAACACTGAGGCAGTGGGTGGTGCATTTCAGCAGTGGCAACAGATTTGTGAAAAACTAGCTGAGTTCTGGACAGCTGTGCAGATTTTTGCAGGCATGGCATGCAGGCTCTTATTGCTGGCGAAAATGCATAGCGAGTGGTGATGACAATGTTGAAAAAGTGTTTTGTAGCTGATAATTAGTTCTGTGCAATACTGTTATTGTGTTCTTCATAGCTAATGTAGTTTCCACAGAAATAAATAGGAGACATTACTTTCAGAGCAACTATGTAGAATAATGGAATAAATGCTGTATCTTTTAAGTTTTTTATTGCAGGAGATGGATCTCATTTATATTCATAATGCAAAAAGAACATAGTGGTAACAGTTAGAACAAAGCTTGATGCCTATATTGAAATGGGAGTTAAGATAGCTCAAGAAAATTTAATAACAGAAAGTAGGATTTAATAATTGATGGTTGGCTTTCTAGCAAGACTTTGCAGTGAGATCAAAAGTTCTGAAATGCCTCGATTATAAAAGGCTTTATTTTGCAGAGGCAGCCATCTTGTGTGAAGGGCCTTCTGGTGTTCCCTTCTAGGGAAAGATTTAGGGTTTCTCTAATACATCGACTATATAATGCTTGTAATGCTTAGCTAGCTGGATCACTGACTTTGCAGTAGAATTTTTTTTCACTTTTAAAACTAGTTCTGATTGCAGTGGCTGCTTGAGACTGCTGTCTCCTGAGTTGTGATCATCACTACCTAAAGAGTTGGCTGTAAGTACTTAAATAGTTCATTAGGTTTAAGCTGTATTCTGACTAGTGTAATGTAGAATTGTTTGCATTTTCAGTAGTGATGCTTTCAGCCCCAGTAGGCATTGACAATCTTACCTTTAGTGTTTAGTCTCCTAAATATATTCATGTTTCTATTTTCTGGATACTTACAAAAACACAGGATAATTTTTTTTGTCTGATAGTCAAAGCGTTTGTTTTCTAGACACTTGCAAATTATGGGTTCTGACTTTCTCTTTCCAACAGATTTGGTTCAAGTACTAAAGTGGTGCATTTTCTGGGAAGCACAAAGCCATGGAACTATACATATGACTCCAGAACAAAAAGTGTAGAAGGCAATATCAATGACCCTAAAATTGTTCACCCAGAATTCCTCAACATGTGGTGGGATACCTATACAGTTAATATTTTACCCTTACTAGAACAGAAAGAAGTTGATAAAGAAAACACCACAGGTGTAAACATGGTATGTATCTTAATATTCTTGTGGAAGTTATCTACGCAAACAGAATAGATTTTGTGCTATCTCACTTGTTTCCCCTTCTGTGCAACTCAAAGCATGGGTGTGGTTTAGTTAGTAAGATAGAGATTCTTGTTTTTCTTCCTTCATTTCTGGAATAAAGAATAATACAGATTAGAAGAATATTATAGTGGTCTTGAGCATAGTTGATTGTTTGCTTAAAATTAAGTGCAGAATGATGCACCGGAAATGATAGTGTAGTAACTTCAGTAAACTCACCCTTAATGTGCTGCAGCTATTAAAGTTCTCAACCACAAGAACCCCAGTTGAGCATGTAGTATACACTTGCAGTCTTGCATGGTACAACCTACCTAGGTAGGCCTGCAATAATTAGAAAATAGGTTACTTAAATAGCCTCGCAGTGATAAATCTTGATACTTGCAAAGCCAAAATAATGCTTCTAATTCCAGTTCTTAAACAGAATTCAGTAGTATGTCTGCAAACTTTAGTCTCAGATTAGTACAGTGGCTGTTTTAAGTTTTTAATCCTTCTAAGCCTAAAGTTACTGATCTCTGGAGATGTGCTCTATCTTTTTAAACTTTTTCTAATGAACTGTTTGCAGCTATCAGGCTTGATCTATACTCTGGCTTTCTCTTGTGGCTTTTGTAGAGAGGTATGAAGAACTTAACCCCTGACCCTACCTCCCCCCCACCTCTTTCCTTGAATGATTTGTTACTCTGCTTTATTTTGCTAGGAAAGCTGCACAGTCCCTGCTTGTTGGTGATGCTTGGTGCTATGCATGAGAACATCTACTTGGTTGCCCTCTTATGTGGCCTGGTGCTTGCTTAAAGTATGCAAAATCTATCTGTATTTTTTACTCTGCCTTTTATTTTAGGCAGAGGTTACAGAGGCAGTGTCCCATATGTCGGTATCAGCACCATCACCACCAGAATTACCAAGCATATCTTCAGAAGAACGCAAGGCTCGGTGGGAACAAGGCCAAGCTGACTATATGGGAGTGGATTCTTTTGATAACATCAAGAAGAAACTGGACTCCTACCTTCAGTAGAAGTGCCATTTTCAAACACTGGCACTAAAGGACTTGTTCCAGAACTAACAGCTAGAAAGGTTGTAGAGGATGGACAATTATGCTTGCTAGTAGCTTGATGGAAAAAATTCTTGGCTGAAGGCCACTGCAGTGCTACAGATAAAGACTGAGCAAGAGCTAGGAAGCAGAATTCCTTGGGCCAATTGTAACTGCCCAGTAACTAGTTTTCCTTACTAGATCTAAAAAAAAAAAAAAAGCATTTTCAACTACATTTATCTTATGTTGTGGTCAGCTGGCTCAGTGTATTAATTGAAACTGGGTTTACACCTTAACTCATTAAGGTGATTAGCATTGACTCCTTTGCTTGCTATTTTAGATCTAAAATGTGATGAGATTGCTCATACACTAAATGATTGCCATTCTGTTTTACCATTAGTGAGAGATAACAGTAATAGCACTGCTTTGATCTTCTAGTCACAATTGCACTGAAGTTTTGACCAGGTTTTTACACATAGTGCCTACAGCATGGCGGAATGCATTTGTTCAGTTCTGTATTCTTCAGGCTTAGTAAACAGAGTTTTTCTGTTACTTGAAATCTTCATGCAAAAATAAAAACTTGTCATGCTTTTCTGGTTTTCTTTTGTAAACTCTTGAGAAAATAGAGCTTTGGAGCAATCTAAAATAACTAAACTTTGCTCATTCCATTCTAGCTATCATTAACAAATGTCCAGCTTCTAGTTCTGTCATTTTTAACGGAGTATGTAATCACTTGCCAGGTTGCTGCTGGGAGAAGTACCTGCAGAATGGAGCTAAGAAAAAGAGAATCTGTGTTTTGGTTACTAAAGAACAATCTGTAATGTGATACTGTTTTTAAAAAAAACACAATGGTGATACTATCTTGGCAAGTAAAGATGAAGTAGCTGTACCTACACAGATTAGGGAAACTACCTCTTCCCTGTGTGCGTTGCCACCATCATGCTGCGCGTTATATTTTGAGACAGAGAAAGGTAGTAAAAGTACAAGACAAAACTCACAGTAACGGTGTTCTGAAGAGAGGGTTGCTGTTGTTTACCGTTAGTTCAGATCCATCCTTTAGCTAGAAGTATAAACAGAACTGAATAACTTAGCATTCAGTTTGGTACCTATAATCTGAATTCGTCCAGTTTTTATATCTTTATAAAGGAGGATTTTGGCAGGAAGCTAGTAAGGGTTGTTCAGCTTTAATCCTGGAGATAAACAATTAACAAGCTGCTACTATTTGCTGGTAAAGAAGATATGATCTGCATGTGAGAGTTAATTGAGGTCCTGGTGTTGTTCAGCAAATATAGTGAAGAGGAGGTCCAGGTCAAAGTAACTTACAGCTATTTAAAAGTTAATAGCATTTGACCTCTCAGTCATAATGTTACAACTAACTACTTCTTTATTTAAAGTTGTTTGAAAGGAGGAAGGGTTAGTAATTACAATCTACAGTTACAGAATACACTTTACCTAACAAGTACAAATACTGAAGTTTTGCATGCTCACAAATATTCTCTGGATAAATTAAAAGTTCTCTTGAGGTCAGCTGAACAGTCTTAGTTTTGCTCCCCTTTTCTGTACGCTTATTAGAGAATCAGCAGTTGGAGACAACTATAAGTGTAAAAAGCATGAGACTACACCAACCTGAAAATTTGGTTTAACATGTAAGTTTTATTACATTCAAGAAGATAAGATACTGAATAAGATAAAACCTATATGTTTCAGACTAACAAGTATAGTTAGTAAATAAAACCTGGGAAAAAAAATTTATACTAGCCTTTGACTCATGTTATAGTGTTCAATAAATTAACATTGTCATTTTCTGCCATTATTTTTTCCATAATTAACACAGGCAGCATTAGCAGAAGTGTACAGACCTTTTCAAATCACCCCATCAGTATCATTTGATACAAAGACCTTTTTGTGAACTTTGTAGTCAGTGTAGTAACTGAATCACTGCTATACTCAAAACGAACATTCTGAAACATTTAATGCAGGGGACAAACAAAGATTGTTACTAGCTTTGTCTTTGGAATTAAAGATGCTAAAGTTCATGATTGCAAAACCTCGCTTGTAGACCATGCTACACTCCAAGAACAACAGCCACAGCCTGCTCATACCTTGTGAAAAGCAAAAAATAAAAAAGCACCGCTGAGAAACTCAGGAACTCAAGTCACTGTACAACTCACCACTAACTCAAGTTTTTTATTTGGCTTTGGAATACAACCATCATCTAGTTAAGAGAAAACAATATTGGTAGTTAGTTTCATAATCATTTTTTAACTCAGTCACTCTGCAAAATATCAGTATTTTTTAAAACAAGCAGTGATGTAGCTTGGCTAGCCATTGAAATGGGTCCCTTGCCAATGGAATTTTTGAACTTGGAAGAAGGAAACAAAGTTAAATCTCTCATTCACAGTCAGGAATTGTTTCTCCAGCTTACATCTAAACCTGAAAGTTTATCTTACATAAACTATGCAAAAACCTGACAGTTCATTTGGTTGTACCTCTGCTTTCCTGCTTTTTTGTCAGACTTCCAGGACTGTAACCAGCTACCAGGGCACATTATTCCACTGCTCATGTCTTGTTAATTCTTTGTCTAACAAACTCAAAGCATCATAACACATTTTTCCCGAGGCTAAGAAACTAGCTCCATAAAAGCGCATTAGCTTGTTAAGCCACATATTTTGGATTCCTTCAGTTAACTCACTATTTCTTAAAATACAGGAAGAAATGCAAGGAATCATTATGGATTTCTAAGGAGGTAATGGAATTTAGTGTATTTCTCAAGTTGCCAAAATGCCTCTGTTTGCTGACACAAGATACGTATATACATATATATATATATATATATACATATACATACATACACACACACGCACGCATATGAAGTATAGATCCTAAGAAGTTTAAAATTAATAGCTGTGGATTCTGCATTATTCCCTAACTAAATTAAAAAAATAATTTTACAAAGGCCAAGACCATAACAAGAATCGAGCTCTTAACAACTACAACCAGTGGGAAAAAAGACAAAAACAGCAACAATAATCAAAAACAAACAAACAAAAAACCCACCACAACACTATGGTCCTCATTAAGTTTTGGGTTGTTTTTTTTTTTTAATATAATAAGCTTTATGTCTAGCAAAAGTACTTGTTTTCATGAGGAGCTGGATACTTATAAAGGAAGAATACTTACAATTTGTTTTCACAATATGCTTGTGTACAAAAAAACAAAAAAAAAATCCATTACTTTCTATTCATAGAACAAAAAGCACAATCTTTGGACTTACCCTTTCAGTAACTTTGTTTTATGAAAGTAACCAGAGGTACCAAATAACCAGATTTGAAATCCACTACCCTGGTTCTATTATGAAAATAAGATGACAAGCTTCAGATTACAAGACTGCAAGATTTAGATTTCACTTCCTGTGAAAAAGAGTACAGCAAATTGGGGAAAAAATTACTAAAGTTACACTTAGTTAAAAGCTCTGGTAAATTTTGAAATTTAAACAGATGTTTTGGGTTGGCTTTTTTTTTTTTTTTTTTAATACTGTTACCCATGAAAGCTAGGTGCAGCAGCTCTTCTCCAGCCTATGTTTTCTGCATTATCTACAGTGGTTCAGTATCTACTGACAATATACTCAACTGCAAGTCCTTTCCAATTTTTCATGCAAATTTTATTGTAATTTCTCTTGAAGAACATACACAAGAGGCTGAATACCTGGTCCCTCTTAAAGGCTCTATACTACAACCGGTACTTTCAGAACTTCTTTCCCTTAAACTCATTTCCTAAAGTGAAAGTAGTAGACAATGATGCTTGCTCTCATTTCTCCCTTTGTTGGTGCTGAACATTATTCCACCATTACCAAACAATGGTGCTACCCCAGAGGCTTTTTTGTTCATTTGTTTTCTCAACCTCAGTCATTGTCATATGTCTATGATAATTAATAAAGATTTATGTCCATGAAGAAGGCAAAGGTGGAAAAACATCCAGAGCTCACATGACCTGATCAGGCTAGAAAGGTTAAAATGCCCACAAATTCTGTATCTAAAATTATGTAAAGGAGTTTGACATGCATAAAGAGAGTAACAGGAAGAGCTGAACACATTCAAATCTGTCAGTGATATATGGCTAACTTTATAATATAAATTATAATGATTTAATTATTGTGGTAATGTTAGGCAGGAACGTAAAGACAAGATAGTAAAAATCTTCAATAATTCACCTCTGAAATAGTCGTTCATCCCCACCTAAAGGAAAAGAAAGCAACACCTCAAGAGAAAATTAAAAGTGAACAGGTTAACAAGCTAATCACTTTAATGAGATTATAATGTTGGCAATTAGAAGTACATCAGATTGGGGTAGGCCAACACTTAACATTAATTAGCATCACTCCACTAGCTTCAATGAAATAATAGAAATTTCTACGTCTTATTTTTTACCAGCTCTTATTGTTAGCAGGAAATACAATTCTGTTTGTGTTTTTGTTCGTTTATTTGTTTGTTTGGGTGGGTTTTGGGCAGTAGAGCTCTGTGGCCATTGTGGTTCCCTTCAAGCTGAACTGTTTGGAATGCGTGCATTTAAATTATCATGTGCAAATGAGGCAAATTTTGCCAAGATCTCCCTTGACTAAATCTTCTGTAATACCATAGATTCCATTCTATAAAACTAACAGAAATGTAAAACTGTAAAGATCCTATTGCTGGGCTCTTGAGTACAGCAGAGAAAAGACCGTTTGGACAGAAAATAACAGCTTCCACACACAGGTACAAACTGCTTTTCTGAAGGAAACAATGGCAGGAGCCAGGCATTAACCTCATCTACTCCCTCAGATGTAGCTTTAAATGCAATTAATTGCAAATTACGAAAAATCTCGTGTAAAAATTACACAGAAGTTGCATTGGAACAACTGAAATCTCATAGAGGAGAAAAAAAAACGAAAGAAAGAAACGAAATACTGAGTTCTGTAATACCTTTATAAAACTTACTTTCGACTAGAACCACCGCTCGTATTTTGCAGAGAAACACAACGTCTACACCACCGGCGCACAGCCCGCCCGGCCCTCAGCCGCTTTCTCCACAGACCCAAAGAGCGCGGGAACTCCCCCAGCACTTCAGTCACGCCACCAACCGAGCATGCGGCAGTTACCACCCCACGTGAGGAGAAGAGCGCACTGGCGAATCAGTGGCCGCCGTTCGACTCTGGCCCAGGTGACAGCCAATGGGAAAGCAGCGCGCAAGGGGTGTCCCGACCGTTACCTGACGGCAGTTGGTCTGTTCGGCGGTGGACGTGTTCCGGTGCGGTGCTGTGTGGTCGAAGCTCCTGAGCCTAACGAGGCGCCATGGTGGGAGCGGGACCTCGGGTTGGGGAGAGGAAGGGAACCTGGGATGGCTTTTGCCGCGGCGGGTTTGGGGAGTTGAGAGTTACCTGTGCTTCAGCGGAGCTCGCGAAATGCTGCCGCTTGCGGCCCTGCGGCAGTGTAAGGCCGTGTGTGTTAATTTCACATGAGAACTGCTGAGAGTTCAGGGGAGGTGATACGTAGAAGTTCGCTGTTGGCAAATGAGACAAAACAGGTGGAAAAGCAACGAAATGCCACCAGCTTTGCAGTGCGAAGGACGACGGTTAAGGGACGGTAAGAATGCCTAGAGCATCGGCAGAGCTTCGCGCCGCTATTTCTTGTGGTGCCTAAAACGATTGGGGGCTCGCACGCTGCCAATCTGGAGTCTGTGTCCGGCGGCCAATGGTGTACCACCGTGCTGTGAAGGGGCGTGGCTGTGCGGCGGTGTATGCTCTGCTCCCGCTCCAGACTGATCGGGGCTGCGTGCTGGGAAACGAGAGCCCGGGGTGGTACGAAAGCGTTGGAAACTCAGTGCAAACCCAATAGGAGTGCAGATAAATGCAGAGTGATCCTCACTGACAAAAGGCTAGTGACAGAACCACGAGGGTGATAATTAAAGCATGTAGTCGAAGATGAGAGTTTTGATGAAGCTTTAAAGAGGAGTGCAGACACCCTAGAGTTTTCTACCTCTGTATTTTCTTAGATAAGCTAAATACACAGTAATACTAACCTAGAATAAGAGTTTCACTCTCAGATGTAAAACAAAATTGGGGTTTTGAGTGATTAAAGATAAGTGCCATGCTTCCTCACTCAGATGATTTAGTAGAGGAACCCAAATATGAATGGATTGCCTGGCACTAGGTATCTGCTTATTGTAAAGGCAAATATACTTAGAGGTCTTGTGCAGAAAAGATTCTTGCAACGTTACTCAGTACATTATTGGCAACAGAGCAAGGAAATAAAGGGTTATTACATAAAGAAGGCTTCTAAAACCAAAGGAAGGTGAAAAAGAGACTAAACAGAATATTATACACAGGATATATGTGCTCCATGGTAAGGAATGATGATACTGCATTCATCCTGTGTGACCACATTGTATCTAAGATCCTCCAACGTTCTCAACATCAAATCCTAGAATCTTTACAGTTGGTCATCTAGTCAAACTCTCCTGCAATGATCAGGGAAAAGCACAGCTAGATTAGATTGCCCAGGGCTTGATCCCACCTTGTCTTGTAAGTCTCTAGGAACAAGGCATCAACCACAACTCTAGGAAGCCTGTTCCAGTGCTTCACCACCCTCACTGTAAAAAACTTTTTCCTTCTATCCAAGCTAAATCTACCCTCTTGAGGTAGATTTTCCCCTCAATAAGAGCTTGCTAAAGAGTCTGTCCCTTTCTTTTCTGTAGCTCCCCTTTAGATATTGAAAGGCCGCTATCAGGTCACCTCCGAGCCTTCTTTTCTCCAGACTGAACAGCCCCAGCTCTCCTGACCTGTCCTTTTAGGAGAGGTGTTCCATCCCTTGGATCATTTTTGTGTCCCTCCTCTGGACGTGCTCCAACATCTCTGTGTCTCTCCTGCACTCAGAACTCCATATCTGGACACAGTACTCCAGGTGAGGCCTCATTAGTGCAATGTAGAGGGGCAGGATCACCTCCCTCCACCAGCTGGCCATACTTCTTTTGATGCAGCCCAGGATACGGTTGACTTAGTGGGCTGCAAGGACGCATTGCTGGCTCATATCCAGCTTGCCATCCACCAATACTCCCAGGTCTTTTTCATCAGGGCTGCACTCAATCCTTTCATCCCCCATCTTGTATTGGTAGTGTGGCTTGCCTTGATCCAGGTGCAATATTTTACATTTGGATTTGTTTTACTTCATGAAGTTCACCTGTGCCCACTGCTCAAGCCTGTTTAGGTCCCTCTGGATGGCATCCTGTTCCTCTGGTGTGTCAACCGCACCCCACAGCTTGGTGTCATTAGCAAACTTGGTGAGGGTGCACTTGACCCCACTGTTGATGTTGCTGATGAAGGTATTAAAGGGTACCAGTCCCAGCATTGACCCCTGAGGGACACTGCTCATCACTGATCTTCATTCAGACACTGAGCCATTGGCCCCTGCTCTCTGGACTTGATTCTGCAGCCAGTTCTTCATCCACTGAACAGTACAGTCATCAAATCCGTGTATTTCCAATTTGGAGAGAAGGATGTTGTGGGGTATTGTGTCAGAGTCCTTACTGAAGTCCAGATAGACAACATCAGTGTCTCTTCTGTTGTCCATTGATGCAGTGACACCGTTATAAAAGGCTGCTAGGTTGGTCAAGCAGGATTTGGTGTTGGTGAAGCCATGCTGGTTCTCCCTGCATTCCATGTGCCTTAGCTCACAGAGGTGAGATTGATGGGTTGATAGTTTTTGACGGTCATCATTTTCTTCTTCTTAGTAGTGGGTGTGATGTTGACTTTTTCCAGTTACCAGAGACTGATTGCCAGCTCTTTCCAAATGTCAAAGAGATTGGCTTAGTGACTACATCAGCTAATTCCCTAGGACTCTGGGATGCATTTCATTGGGACTCATAGACTTGCAGATGTTCAAGTTCCTCAGGTGGTCACCAACATGATCTTTGATTACAGTGGGAGGGATGTTGCTTCCCCATTCCCTCCTACTAAACCAAACATTTGAGGGCTGTATGGTGAGCAGTTATCAGAGAAGATTGAAGCAAAGAAGTTGTTAAGTACCTCAGCCTTCTCCTTGTCTGTTGTTACCAGATTGCCTGTGTCACTCACTAGGCACGGTATGCACTCCTGGACTTTCCTTTTCTACAGGTTGAGGTACCTGTAGAAGCCTTTCTTGTTCTTCTTGGCATCCCTTGCCAAAGTTAGGTCAAGCTGGGCCATGGCTTTCCTGAACCCATCCCTACACAGACTTGCAGCTTTTTTATAGTCTTCCCATGATACCTGTCCCTGTTTGCATTGCCTGTGCATTTTTTTCTTGTTCTTCCATTTGACCAGCAGGTCCTGGTTCAGCCACACCTGTCTCTTGCTTTCCTTTCCTGACAGTGTAGATCAACAGCAGTGAGTAGAGTCATGCCAGCAGCAGACTTAGATCATTTTAATTGTCACTCAAGCAACTGAGGTAATAATGCAGCAGGGAAAGATCACTACAGTATAACCCACAGATAGCAAGTTATTGTGAGAGTGAAATCTAAGTGACGGGTAGCCCAGATCTCACGTTATCATTATCCTTTTTTCGTTTGCAGCGTGAATGCATATCTATCCACGTTGGTCAGGCTGGTGTTCAGATTGGCAACGCATGCTGGGAATTGTATTGTCTTGAACATGGGATCCAGCCTGATGGTCAGATGCCCAGTGATAAAACTATTGGAGGCGGAGATGATTCATTTAACACTTTCTTCAGTGAGACGGGAGCTGGTAAACATGTTCCCAGAGCAGTGTTTGTGGACCTAGAGCCAACTGTAGTTGGTACGTATCCAAGATGCACATCTTCAATGTAAAACTACTCCTTTCCTTTCAGACTTTTTTGATTTTCAAAACACTGGGGGTTCTAAAAGGTGTATAGCTGGATGATGTTTTGACATGTTTGGTTAGTGTTATTTGAAAGAGATGAAATGATGGTCTATGGGTAATGTTTGGAAAACATTAAACTTTGCAGATTGGATAATCTTTCCAAGCCACTGCACTACATCCAGAGCTTCATTTGATTGCTATCCAGAATAAGCCTGTGCCTGCAGTATAATTCTTTTGAGTTGTCTGCATGTTCCAGAATGCAAATACTGCTTTGTGAGCATCCGATGTTTCCTCCTAAAGAAAGACGCTGAAGTTGTATCAACTTTTTGCTGCGTTTGTTCATTGAAGCTGTCTATGGGTTTTTGACATTTCCTTTTACTTAGTATGTCATCACTAGGCACCACACACAGAACTCAACAGATAAATTTTATGTTGGAATATGTATTTTTTCATTTGTAGATGAAGTACGTACAGGCACATATAGGCAGTTATTCCACCCTGAGCAGCTCATTACTGGGAAAGAAGATGCAGCTAATAATTATGCTAGAGGCCATTACACGATTGGAAAAGAGATTGTTGATCTAGTGTTAGATCGCATTCGCAAACTGGTAAGAATTCATGCTGCAGATCATTATTTAAAATAAGTAAGATACAGCTCTAGAGCTACCTGTAGTTATGATTTGTTATGATGCTTGTGTTTTCTGGGGGGAAGGGACTTGTTTAAGGATTTTATGCATAGATTAATTAAAAACAAAAACAGGAAGTTGGTCTCATGCCTCCCCCCTCAGTCAGTAAAACTTGAAAGTTCTTGTGATATGGAACATCATTATTTGAAGATATTTTAAGGATACCTCAGAAGTGCATTATAAAATCTTTAGACAACTGTAATCACTTGTTTGTTAATTTTAACTTGAATCACACCATTATGTGTCATTCAAAATATTCCCAGTACCCTGAAACTCAGATTTTGGTTGAAACTTCAGTAATTTCACATATCTTTCTAGCTTTTCATAACCTGGTGTAATGTAAGAAACTCACATAGCATGACGTGAATCAAAGTGAAGTAGTGATTGCCTATATGAAATTGTAAAAAGACTTTTTTTTCCAAACCAAATTGATACTTGCTGCCATGTAGAGTACAGTAGTAGTTTAAAAGCTGCAAGCCTGCTGTAATTTCTAATAATATTTCACTGTTGTGCACAGCTGCTCTTGCTTTAAGTAGGATAAAAAGTGCATGAAGGAAAATGCTACGTTCAAATGTGAAAATACTCATATTCAGAACAAGGTGCGCCATGGCGGTTTTAAGTAAAAGATAAGCAGGAAAAAAGTTATCTTTTAAAAGAAATGATTAGGAAGTAATTGCTTTTGAGTGCTTATTTTAATATTGATGATTTTGGAAAGGGTAATAATAAACATATGTTTTTTCTCTCCTTCTCTCCACCCTATTATAGGCTGATCTGTGCACTGGGCTGCAAGGTTTCCTTATCTTTCACAGTTTTGGAGGAGGCACTGGTTCAGGGTTTGCATCTCTGCTCATGGAAAGGCTCTCTGTTGACTACGGCAAAAAATCTAAATTAGAATTTGCAATTTATCCAGCACCACAGGTTTCTACTGCTGTAGTGGAACCTTACAATTCAATTTTAACTACACATACAACACTGGAGCATTCAGACTGCGCATTCATGGTAGATAATGAAGCCATTTATGATATATGTCGTCGCAACCTGGACATAGAACGTCCCACTTACACCAATTTAAATCGACTAATTGGGCAAATTGTTTCATCCATCACAGCTTCGCTACGTTTTGATGGAGCCCTTAATGTAGATCTGACAGAATTTCAAACTAACCTTGTTCCGTACCCACGAATCCATTTCCCCCTGGTAACATATGCCCCTGTCATCTCTGCTGAAAAAGCCTACCATGAGCAGTTATCTGTGGCTGAAATTACCAATGCTTGCTTTGAACCAGCCAACCAGATGGTAAAATGTGACCCGCGTCACGGTAAATATATGGCCTGCTGTATGTTATACAGAGGTGATGTTGTCCCTAAAGATGTTAATGCAGCTATCGCTACTATCAAGACTAAGCGTACCATTCAGTTTGTGGATTGGTGCCCAACTGGATTCAAGGTACTTTGATAACTTCCGAAGTGCTTGATTTTGGAAATACTAGGAATTGCATAATATTTGGAGGTAACGATCATTGTACAGTACTGTAATGTTCCTGTTGCTGAACTGCTTACGTTTCAGATTATATTCTTAAGTATAATTCTATGATATTCTAACACAGATGAAAATTCTAAAACAAGTTACAGAATAGTGATCACAGTTTCTATAGGAACAGGCAGTACTGAGGGTCTGAAAATAATTTACAAACAGGTAGGTACCGAAAAAGCAATGCCGGGTTTTACTGCAGGTCTTCAAAAATCTAGGGAGTTTTGTACAGAAGGAATATAGACAAGCCCCAAACAAATGTAGAAACACTACATTAAGCAATTGAATTCAGCGCAGTAACTTCCCAACAATGTTTTTAAGATACCTTGAAGTGGTAGATGCTATCAGTTTCTGGACATGTGGAGCCTGGCTGCTATCACTAGAGCAAACCTATTTTTTTCGTTTTAATTTATTTAAACATAGGCTCCTTAAGTAGACTTTTTACTAGATCAATATCAGATTGTTCAGCTGCCTATGTGTGTTCTCAGTTGACTGGCAGTGTCACCTTCCAGACAAGAGGTCCATCCTTATAGCTACTGTCCATGCATTCACGACTTGAAAAGACCCAGATTCTTATGTTCTGTCTAGAGTCCAGTAAGCTCTTATGATCTGTTGGAAAAATAATCTGTAGGCCAATGTAGCTAACGCTGGACCAGTTTGACCAGATTCTGAATTTAGGATTTAGTTAAATATTTTGATGAAGCGCAAAATAATTTTGTTTAATTGTTCACAGTTGTGGCTACTGTTGTTGTTAACAGAAATAAGTCTTCAGTGCTTCCCAATAATTAAAGAAGTTCTCATTTGTTTTCTTGAAGGTGGGCATTAACTACCAGCCTCCAACTGTGGTGCCAGGTGGTGACCTTGCAAAGGTGCAGAGAGCTGTATGTATGCTGAGTAATACAACTGCCATTGCTGAAGCATGGGCTCGTCTCGACCATAAATTCGATTTGATGTATGCCAAACGTGCCTTTGTACATTGGTATGTTGGAGAAGGAATGGAGGAAGGAGAATTTTCTGAAGCCCGGGAAGATCTGGCTGCCCTTGAGAAAGATTATGAAGAAGTTGGGATAGACTCTGTAGAAGCAGAGGCTGAAGAAGAGGATGAATACTGAAAATACTGAAGTAATGAAAAGTGTGTTCCGTAACAGCAACAAACGAATTGCAGAATCCTGTTCGCTTGCTTGCTTGTTTTCAGATGCAGTTTTAAATGTTGTACTGTTCATTTTTTTTCTTTGTTACTGTTTACACATTCAGTTGCTGTGTAAGGACTGTTTGAAATGACAGTTTTTGGTAGCATCTAGTCTTGCACAACTTAAAGATTAAATTACAAAATTGTGTACGTGTCAGTAACACTGTACTCAATTTATCTAACTGTAGTAAGGGTAAGTGCCATTACACTTTTGGTCTGAGCTAGAATATGAGAAAAAAAAAAGGGGGGGAGACTCGGCAGACAAAAGGTAAAATTTTCCAACCAGCATGCCCCCTTATACTCAGTTCCACTTTAGATAGAAAGAAAATAAAATGTCAGGTTACCTGCTTTAAAATAGTCATGTTTGGAATTCCTGCACTGATCTATTAAATACTAATGTGTCCTTTAATGCACAACTCTGTGGACACTTGAAGCTTTGATGAATTAATAAAAATTTCTTTGTCTTATTTTTTACCTGTTCTTACTGTTAGCAGAAAATACAACTTCTATTTGTGGACAGTTATTTTGTGGTGTTTTTTTTTCTGGTTGGTCGGGTGGGTTTGGTTTTGTTTTTTAGAAAAGCCATATGGTTTTCCGTGAAAAGGACTGGATGCAATTGCCTGGTGTTAATTAGCAGATGCTTCTCTTCACAGACTGTGTAGTATGTTTCTTTTCTAGGTGGAATGTCATTTGAGGCTACCTCTACAAAACCTGCTTTGTAATGCTGTAATTTTACACAATCTGATGATAACAATACACATCCAAAAAACCTTCAGTTTTAGTCTAATCTAGCTAAACTGTTCTAGCTACTATTTCTGGTTAAAATTAAAGAGAGGGAGAATATATATACGTGCTTTTAATGTAACAGAATACTATTCTAGTTAATAGAGTTAACTGCAGCAGACATTTTAAAATCTAAATTAAAGCTAACACACCAGATCTGATTTATTTGCTGGGTATTCTACTTTTGTAATTTAAAAAATACCAAAAAAGCATATAGTGATGTATGTGCTATTTTTACTTTACCAAAGGATGAACTTCTGTCAAATGCCTGTAAGCTTTTACATTTTACTTTCTTAACCTGGAATTTCTTTGTATGCTAGCAGGAAAAAAGAAAGGAATTTATGACTTTGAATACTCGAAAAAGTATTACTGAAAGCCTGTAATTGAATTCTAAATTATACTTGCTGTTGAAAGGGATGCACATAATCACAACATCAGAAGCAGCTTCAAAACAATCTTCAGAGCAGGAAACCACAGTATTCAGAGCTACTCATTCCTTGAATTCAGGTAGTGCCAGCCCAAGCACTAGTCCTGTTATTAACTACGAACTGAGTATGCAGAACTAACTGTAACCGAATGTCTTCTGCTGCTGTCATCTCTCATACAGGTACAGGAGGATTTGAGGATTCTAGTGATAAACCAGTGCAGTCTAGGTCCATCTTAAGTTTAACAGTTGAGCACTCGTATGCACCTAATAAGCAAGGAGGGGCTTGTAAGTAGCATTCTGCCATTTGAGCACTCTCGTGGCTTTCAAAAATCACACACTAAATCAAATTCTATCTTGAACAGGCTCCTTAGCTACATTGCTGAAGCCTCAGGATGGGTGAAGAATCAGCATCACTGACAGCATTACTTCATCTTTGCATCAACTGAATCCATCCTTGGAAGCGTGCTGATGACGGGAGGAAGGTGCTGTTCACGCTAGGGATGACAGCCTTGAGGGGGAGGGGAGGAGGGGAGGTCCTGGATATATGGGGGCCATCGGACGATCATCAGCAGCACGCAGTTCAACAAAGGTAAACGCTGGGTTCTGTATCTGGATCGGAGTAATGCCGGACAGCTTGGCAGATGGGCAGCTCGAGAGCCGCTCAGAAACAGAACTCGCCGTCCTCACCGCACAGCGGGACTTCCCGCTCTCACGGCGCCGCTCCTCGCGTCGCCTGACTCCCTTCAGCGCTCCGTTCCGGGTTTGCCTCTGCTCGTGAAATCCGCGGCGCGAGGAGCTGCTGCCGCTTACAGTACAAAACGCCGCGATGCAAGAGAATGCCTGAAAGTACGCTGCAACACCTACAAAGCGGCGCCTGACAGCGCAGACCCGTACCCAGAGAGGCGGGCGGCGCCTCGGCGGGGCACGGAACTGCGCTCGGCGTTCTGCACCGCGCCCCGCCCCGCTCCGCCCCGCCCCGCCGAGGAGCGCCGCGCGCTGCGGAAGGCCGCGTGGGGCGGAAGGCGGAGCGCCCCCGCGAGAAACCTCCGAGCGGTGCCTGTGTTTGGGGGCCATGGTGCAGCTTTACAACTTGCACCCGTTCGGGTCGCAGAGAGTAGTGCCCTGCAAGCAGGAGCCGGCGCAGTTCTGCTGCGGCCACGACGTGCTGTTCGTGGCCAGCGCGGCGGCCAGCTGCGGGGTGGAGGTGTTCGCCGTACGCCGCGAGGGCCACTGCGAGCCCTTGGGCTCCTTCGCCACCCTGGGCCCCGTGCTGCGCATGGCGCACAGCCGTGCAGGTCAGTGCTGGCCGTCGCTGGGCGCGCGGGGCCGAAGCTCCACAGGGCGGGTGCGGGTGGCCTCTGCGAGCGGCCTCTGCGAGCGCGGTGCCCGGAGCTGCTGCCCGGCCGGGGCGACTCCTCGGAGAAGATGATTTCATGCGAGGGCTGCTCTTACAGTGGGCCCACGTCAAAGTAGCGTCTGAGCTCTGGGGCCGTGTGTGTTTTCCTTTAACAGTACGTGAAGTGCAAAGTAATTTGCACTCGAGATCTCATTAAAGAAAAGCCGGTAAAAGCTGTACTGTGGAATGTTACGTGAGAGCTGAGAATTTAAGATACTTTTTGTAATGTATTTTATTGGGTTAGCAGGTAAACAGCTCAAATGCTGTCATGTGTTCTTTAACGACTTATCAGTACTTCTGCTTTACCTTAAGGAGACTATTTGGTGACGATTGAAGAGAAAAGCAAAGCAACTTTCCTAAGAGCTTATGTGAACTGGCGATGCATGTCTGCAGGGAGTTCTCGCGTTTGTGTCCGGATGGTGGGTCACAAGATGGAAGAGTCATACACTGAAACCTTGAAAGAGCAGATGTCGATAGTGGAAATGGCACTTTCAGATCCTCCGCTGTGTATTTCATGTTGTCCGGTAAATGGAGATCTTCTTGTAGGCTGCAGGAATAAGCTAGTCATGTTCTGTTTGAAATACCTGGTCATAAACCAGAATTTGACAGTATTAGACTTTGAGCGCTCCTTAATTTTACACATTGATAACTTCATTCCTGCCGAGGTTGCATTTTATGCTAGACACATAGCGATAACAACAGAATTAGATGTTCTAATCCTGAAACTGGACCTGATCCAGCAAAGTGCAGACAGAGGAGAGCAATGTGCATGTCAAGTTAGTACAACAGAAAAGCTGGTGGATGGAGGTAAGTACAGATATTTAACTTTTTCAGACTGAGAATCTGCTAAGTGATTACTGTTATTCATAAAGAAGGCTCAAACATGATGTGGTTACATACTGACTGCTTGCAATGTGTGGGAATCAACCTGATTAGCTCCCACCTAAAAATCAGATGAACAGCAGCAAGCTTTTAGAAAATCTTTCATTTATAATTTAAGAAATTTTAAAAGGTATGTGCTTTTTGAAATGGAAACTATACCTTAAAAAAAAAAAAAAAAAAAGAGGTCAATAAAATTTCAGATGGGAAAGATATCAAATGGAATTTTCTTCATTGGTGGACAATGGATTTTAGCTCAGACATTGGCATCTCGCACCAGGTTGTTTTCAATGCTTAAAACAGAATAGAAAAGTTCAAAACATTTTTGGGTGCAATTAGGATTTGTTTTCTGGAACTTAGGTGTGTTGAAGATCACACAACATTGTATCGTAGCTACCTTTTTCCTTCTGAAAATCTTTACAACCAAATGACAACGTTTTTTAATTTGTTATTGGCTGTTTACAGCACAGGTTGCTTTGGATTTGCCTCATACTGGGCAGCTTGCCTGTTAATAGAATCACAGAATGGTTGGGTTGGAAGGGACCTCAGAGTCCATCCAGTTCCAACCCCTGCTGTGGGCAGGGGCACCTCCCATAGACAAGGTGCCCAAACCCATCCAGCCTGGCCCTCAGTACCCCCAGGGATCGGGCACCTACAGCTGCTCTGGGCAGCAGTGCCAGGCCCTCGCTGCCCTCTGAGTGAAGAATTTCTTTCTTACATCTAATGTAACTCTGCTCTCTCTTGGTTTAAAGCCATTACACCCTGTCATGCCTCTACATGTGCGTGTAAAAAGTCTCTTCACCTTCTTTGTAAGCCCTGTTTAGGTATTGGAAGGCCATGATAATTTTTCCCCGGAGCCTTCTGCAGCAACCCTGGCTGTCATCCTGTCCCTGCAGCAGAG